AACAAACGAACTAAACCTTGTGAACAAACGAACTAAACCTTGTGAACAAACGAACTAAACCTTGTGAACAAACGAACTAAACCTTGTGAACAAACAAACTAAACCTTGTGAACAAACAAACTAAATCTTGTGTACAAACTGTCCACACCCTGCCCCCCCTCACCTGTGGGGGCGCTGCACCAAGAACCACTGAAGGAAATGACCCAAAATCCTCAAAAGACATGGAGTGCAACTTCCTTCTTCACAAAATGTAAACACACATGGTGTGATGTCAGATTTTAGTGGTTGTGGGATTTACTTTTTGTTTTAGGAAGATGTGTCAAACAAACACCCTTCAACAATGAGCTGAGCATGAGCGAAAGATGGGGCGGAGTCACAGAGAATGGCTGAGATGGCTCCATGTGAGGCGGCGTTCACCAAGCAGGAGCGCATCAAACTTCATGTACAGGCTTGAAATAACAATTATCAATCGTGTTTTGATTTGTTTTGCCTACTGCATGATGGCTGTTGCACAGAAACATAATTATGCCATGAAATGGTAGCCCTTCATCAAAGCTAAAGGCCCTGTCACACTATGACATTTTTGACAACTTATGCCAACTTATGAAATGTTTTTTCCACTAAATGATATATTTAATCAATTTGTTTGCATTACAATATGTACAAGCTTCCAGTTGGTTTTTAAATTCCATCTTTAATATCGATGTCTCCAAACTTTTCATAAGTTAGCATAAGTTGCATAAAACGCCACTGTGTGACAAAGCCTTAAACTACAAAAAATCTGAAGTTCCTATGCTGAATAGTTTTTGAGCTATAAGTATTTTTGTATGTCCAGATGCCAGCTTTTAAAATGGCACCCCACTTGAAATATGGGGTTTATCACAAAACCGTTTGCTAAGTGTGCCACATCTATATTCCTACCAAATTTCATGCAGCTGGGTGTTGCCGTCTCTGTGCTACGATTGACAAAAAATCTGAGAAAAAAAAAATGAAAAGAATATGACCCTAGACCGGGCCCCAGCAACTACTGCCTGAAATTCAAAAACATTTTTTTACATGGTAAATGGCCAGAACTAACACTTTATTAAGTCCCTACAAACTCCAAAGCGCTTCACACTACAGCCACACACCCAGACATGAGGCTGCCACGCACCAGCGCCACCACACCCTCTGACCACCACCAGCAGGTAAGGCAGGTGAAGTGTCCTGCAGTGGATTTTGAAAACAAAAGATCTGTGTTGGAGATGTGGGCGCAGGAATTTGGTGGGGGTGCAGAATTTTTTCATAAACCAAATGGGGGCCTGGGCATAAATAGTTTGTGAACTTCTGACATTAAATAAGAAATAATCCATGAAAATAACAAAAGATCCAGTGACTCAGAATCTGTGTGATCATATTCAAAAGATACAGATGACTATAATGACTCAATCAGGTTTACAGATATTGAGCTGAAACTTGATGTGGCAGTAGCTGAGAGTCATTCACTGCACATACTCTGAGCACAAGTAAATTGAAAGATCTCCCATAACTTATTAAAACTTTTTTCCAAGGTTCGACAAAAACTGCCATAACTACCTTTTCTCAACATTTGATGATTTTAGTTTGAAACTCTGACCTGAGAGGAGGTGGGCGATAAACATTTTTTCAAATAATTCTAGCCTGTTATGTAATTATATGAAGATTTTTTTTTTTTTGGAAAAATGGGTGTTTTCAAATTTGAGCCTAAATAATCTGTAAACTGTAACATGTGCCTGCAAGAACAAAAACAGTTAAGTTGTGAGTCAACAGTCACATGTGTGGTGTTTTCTTCCTGCTGTTTTATCAGAGGATGAGTAGGCAGTGTGTGTGTGTGTGTGTGTGTGTGTGTGTGTGTGTGTGTACATGCATTCTACAGTATGTATGTTGCCCGTATGTGTGTGTTTTCCTGATCTTCCAGTGATTTCCATGCCTGAATAGATCTCAGCTGCCAGCAGTCTCAGAGCTGAGCTGATCTCTGACTCGAGCTAAAAAAGGAAACAGCGTCTTACAGCCACAAGGATGTTTAAAACCGGGTCGAACAGAACCCTCATCCTAAACATTCGCTTGATGGATGTCATAGCACCTGGAGCTCAGAGTCTGCTCTAAAGACAGAACAGCAGTTAATCAATGTCAGCTTCCTGTGAACGTGAAGCTTTTAATGTAGCATCAGTCACAAGACATTTTCCTGTGGACCGCTGAGGAGCTCAGGTAGTGACTAAACACTGGCAGGAAGTGTCATGGAGCCGAAATTAACCAGCTGAGAAAACTACGGTTTCATTCGTTCAGGAAGGTTAATATATAATATAATATAGAATATAAGAAAGGTTAAAATTATCTGATATTTACACGTTAAACCAAAGTAATTTGTCCCACTTCATCTGACAAGAGAGCTGTTACCACAGTGTAAAATGTTATTTTCCTCACAGTGAGGCTTAGTAGTTGTTCTGTGTCGACCTGGGAGCAGCTTTTACATGACAGGTAGGTGCAGAAGTATAGAAAGTTTTGGTTATCTATACTTTTAATAATAGTAAAAAAAAAATTCAGCTAACTTTTTTACTTCTACTCTACATTTTCACTCAATTATGTGTATTTTCTATTCGTTACATTTAAAAAATTGTAACGAGTCGAATGCCATTGTCATTACTCCTTTTTCATTTTAGTTATTTTTTTCATTCCGGCTCGTCTTGGTTTAAAAAATAAAAACATATACAGATATATCCTAGATAGAGTTAGTTTAATTGTGGTTGAATGAGAAGTTGAAGTGGATACCATTCTGACACCCTATAGACCATTTTGTAGTTAAAAATTGTGCAAATGTGCAAAGCCATTTTTCGGGATTTTTTTCATTTTTTGGGGGGAAACGCTGAGGTTGCTATGAAAACGTTAGAATTGGATGAATTCAACCGCTAACAAACCTGATGTATTTGCTCTTGTTAGGTTTTGCTTTAGGATTGTACGAAAAACGTGATCAATAATTGGAACTCGGAATAAGTTTGCAGAAAACAAGTTTATTCTCTTCTAAAAATCTTTAGTAAAATACTCCATTCTGGGTGGCACGGTGGCTCATTTGGTAGAGCTGTCGCCTCTCAGCAAGAAGGTCGCCGGATCAAATCCTGGGTAGAGTTTACATGTTCTCTCCGGGCACTCCGGCTTCCTCCCACACACCAAAAACATGACTGTTAGGTTAATTGGTAACTCTAAATTTTCCCTAGGAGTGAAAGGTCGTTTGTGTACCCCGCCCCTCGCACATGCTGGATATGGGCACCAGTGACCCCATGACCCTGAAAGGAAGAAGCGGGTATAGATAATGAATGGATGGAAAACATTCCATTCCAGTCAGCTCACAGCTCGTCAGCCTGGCCACACCCCTAGGGGGCGCTATCTTTTACAAAAGATTCTGGAAGATTAAACAAACTTTGTCATCCTGTGGGAGAGGGCCGCATTGATAGAAACATACTGACTCTCTGTTTAAAGCATATGACTGCACAAAGTGTAAAATACAAGACTATCTGAAGTTCAGGTAATAATACAAAATAATTCCTTCAGGATCACACATGAGGTGTTTTATAAATGGCTATAAATCTGCTTTTTGAGCTTGGTGAATTTGCACAACTCCAAAGGGATTTTCAAAGCTGCCTCAGCGTTACCCAGGAAGAGTTAGGCTCTGTTAGTGCTCATAACTACTGAATCGTTTATTGGTGTACACGCATTCTATCACAACTGCACATGACACAAATCACGTCGCAATCCAGCAAAACACAGCAAACGTATGAAGATGATCGCGGCAGAGTGCATCCCAAACTCCTAACATTACGGTCATTATGGC